TGATTGTTAGATTGAACTTGACTGTTAAGTATAGTAACTCGATCATGTGTTTCAATCAAGGATACAATGCACTTTGGTGAAAGTAATCAAATTTGACATTGTTATTCATGGTTTATTTATTATTATTATTATACTTATGTCACCTTACAGCCTGGCATAATTTTGTGGTATTGCATGAGGCATCTGTATTCTCGCTTATTAGATGATTCAAATTTAAAATATGGCATATTTAAAAATAAAGTTCATAGCTAGAATTTCTCACAAATTTGGTCACCCTCTTGTTGAGTTCCAAGCGATTGGACTTCGGATTGAGAAGATGCAAAATAAAAAGGTTGTTACGGTGATACTGCAATGTGCAGATTCAGGCATCAACCATACTCTCCATGGATGTTTTTTATTAGTACATATAAAGTTTATTTCATTTGAAAATAATCCTTATCAGAAATAATACATTAACCTTGTTCTTCCTCAGAAAATGGCCAAATATGGTGACTAAATAATTTGCATATGCATTATGTTGCAATGGAATAATTAGCATATCAACAACCTGTTTTATCTATTGAAAGTTTAAGCATACATGTAACATTGCAGTGACCAAATCATCGTAAAACCACGTGTTTAATGGAGTGGAAGTATTGAGTAAAAAATAATCTGTCACCTAATATATTTTTATGTTTATTTATAATAAATAATGATAAACTAACATTTGAAACAAAATAAATAAATTTTAATACAGTGATAATAAAATAAATGCATTAACAAATAAATATACTTTTTTGGTGAGGGATTATTTTTTTCTAACAACAATCAAATGTGTGAACTTTGTTCAGTGAACCCACCATTGAACTTCTATGCGTTAAACCTCATTTCCTTTTGCCATCAATAACACCATATTAAGCATGGCTGCTCACATGTACATCCACCAGGCATGACAATGTGTATTGAAGATACAGCCATGTGAAAGTGTTTCTCCATCAAGTGTAATTTATTTATCTCTAACAAAAGTGTGTCCTTGAATAGAGGTTTAGACAAGAATAAGACGGGCAAACAAAACACGTTTGAAGTTCAATGACGCAGGTGTAATGAGTGAACAGATTAACCATGGTAATTTAAACGATGCGTCTTTTGTATTATTGTGTGAATAGTATAAGATCTATGCCACTTGCTTCACTCTGCTGACTCTTTTAATATAGTTAACTAGCTTACTCACTGCTTTTATGGTCCAAGGTAGGACCCCAGTCTGGTAACTCTTTTCATATAGCTAACTGGCTTCTACACTGCCTTGTAGTCCAAGGTAGGACCCCAGTCTGGTAACTCTTTTCGTATAGCTAACTGGCTTCTACACTGCTTGATTGTCCAAGGTAGGACCCCAGTCTGGTAACTCTTTTCATATAGCTAACTGGCTTCTACACTGCTTGATGGTCCAAGGTAGGACCCCAGTCTGGTAACTCTTTTCATATAGCTAACTGGCTTCTACACTGCTTGATGGTCCAATGTAGGACCCCAGTCTGGTAACTCTTTTTTATATAGCTAACTGGCTTCTACACTGCTTGATGGTCCAAGGTAGGACCCCAGTCTGGTAACTCTTTTCGTATAGCTAACTGGCTTCTACACTGCTTGGTAGTCCAAGGTAGGACCCCAGTCTGGTAACTTTTTAGCTCCGCTGTCGACTTTGTCGAGCGGAGCTTATCATATGAGTGATTGTCCGTCGTCGTCCGTATATAGCTAACTGGCTTCTACACTGCTTGATGGTCCAAGGTAGGACCCCAGTCCGGTAACTCTTTTCGTATAGCTAACTGGCTTCTACACTGCTTGGTAGTCCAAGGTAGGACCCCAGTCTGGTAACTCTTTTCATATAGCTAACTGGCTTCTACACTGCTTGATGGTCCAAGGTAGGACCCCAGTCTGGTAACTCTTTTCGTATAGCTAACTGGCTTCTACACTGCTTGGTAGTCCAAGGTAGGACCCCAGTCTGGTAACTTTTTTCATATAGCTAACTGGCTTCTACACTGCTTGATGGTCCAAGGTAGGACCCCAGTCTGGTAACTCTTTTCATATAGCTAACTGGCTTCTACACTGCTTGATTGTCCAAGGTAGGACCCCAGTCTGGTTACTCTTTTCATATAGCTAACTGGCTTCTACACTGCTTGATGGTCCAAGGTAGGACCCCAGTCTGGTAACTCTTTTCATATAGCTAACTGGCTTCTACACTGCTTGATGGTTCAAGGTAGGACCCCAGTCTGGTAACTCTTTTCGTATAGCTAACTGGCTTCTACACTGCTTGATGGTCCAAGGTAGGACCCCAGTCTGGTAACTCTTTTCATATAGCTAACTGGCTTCTATACTGCTTGATGGTCCAAGGTAGGACCCCAGTCTGGTAACTCTTTTCATACAGCTAACTGGCTTCTACACTGCTTGGTAGTCCAAGGTAGGACCCCAGTCTGGTAACTCTTTTCGTATAGCTAACTGGCTTCTACACTGCTTGATGGTCCAAGGTAGGACCCCAGTCTGGTAACTCTTTTCGTATAGCTAACTGGCTTCTACACTGCTTGATGGTCCAAGGTAGGACCCCAGTCTGGTAACTCTTTTCATATAGCTAACTGGCTTCTATACTGCTTGGTAGTTCATGGTAGGACCCCAGTCTGGTAACTCTTTTCATATAGCTAACTGGCTTCTACACTGCTTGATGGTCCAAGGTAGGACTCCAGTCTGGTAACTCTTTTCATATACTGTAGAATACTTTAGTTTCGCTTGGAATTTATTTTCGCTATTTTCGCTGAAGGGATGATTCCGTGAAAATAAAATCCAGCGAATATACTTTTTTTCCTATATTTCACATTAAACTCATCAAAAATCAGTGAAAATAAAGTCCATACAAAACACCCGAAAAGCCTTTTCAGCGAAAATTAATTCCAGCGAAAATAAAGTATTCCACAGTAGCTAACTGGCTTCTACACTGCTTGATGGTCCAAGGTAGGACCCCAGTCTGGTAACTCTTTTCATATAGCTAACTAGATTCTTATAGTTACAGTGTAGTTATAAAATAAGTACTTATTATGTCTGGTTGTCCTGAATCATTGAAAAATAAAGACTACCTTGACATGTGTGAATATTTCCTGTCAAAATCTGTCTGTAATTAATCATTTTATTATTAGTCAGTAGTGTGTAAACTGTCTTGGTTGACTGACTATTTGTATTTTGAGATAAATGGTAAAATAATTTGCATAAAATGCCATTTTAGCAGCAGTTTCCAAAGAACACAATGAAAGCAAATTTTTTTTATTAAAAACCTACTAAGAAATATTCTTTTTACTATTTCTAGACATCAAAAAGTACCTTGTAAGGCACTATATATTTTTTTTCATCAAATGTCACAGTGCAAAAGTTTGAGATATTTATATATAAATTGCCAAAGGAAACAATGGTAACAAAATGCTATTGTCACTGTATTTTATTGATTGATTTTCTTCGAATATTCTTTGAGTACGGTGAACCCTATATCTATAATTCATTTGTTTTTCTTGTAACATGATATAACAAATACGATATGCAGGATGACAATATTTTTACCTTTGTGTAGCTTTCTACATTAACATGAATTCCGTTGGAAATAGTTCTAAAAAATCCCAGTTTTGTATATTTTCAGTTTTTTCCTAAAAATAGTGTTCTAATCACTTTAAAAAAAAAAAAACATAATTTTTTCGTTTTTATTTAATAGGCTGCTGTCCCACGAATGACCTTAAACACATTTAACGTATTTTTTTTTTTTAATATGATGATTGATTTGTAACTTTAATGTCTTTCCTGTCACACATGTGCTGTCATGTCATGTTTTTATGTTTTATTTATAAAATTTTGACAATCTTTTTACACCACAGTAAAGTAAAAACAATCTTTTGTGAAGAGCTCACCTTTTTGTCAGGTACATCTTCTGTGTATACACAACATTTGTTGACCCTGTGATCTGCAGTAATGATCTGGAACTTCACACAGCCCTCTTGGGGAGAAAAAACCCAGCTATATTAATTTCCGCATCACTCTTTAGCATTACCATAATTATATTTATTGCCAATAAATTAATAAAATATCACCTTGATTGCTTTTACTTAATTACGTAATCGATATTAATTTGGGTAGCCAAGCCTAACTATTGAGGCCGCCATTAATGATGTCAGTCGGTATTTATTGATGGCTAAGCCTTAAATAGCGTGTGGTTACGAGAAAGGAACTCGGCAACTTACTCTCGAAGCTTGTATTTTGTTGCAAGGTGGTTGATATAATTTCACTAATCACGTTGTGTTTTTTTTAATTGTGTGCACACAAGGATAATTTATCTAATATAGAACACTATTATTAGCACAAAAAAAATGACTTTGTTTGAAAAGAAAAGAATAAATATTACAGCATTTGTCACTGACCAGAGAAAACTAATACCTGCTGAACCAATACATTTCAAATTCAGTATTCTCCTAAAAATGGTGTTGGTTTCTTGAACTAAATTGACACCAAATGAATACCATTGGCCTGAAACACAGTAAAAATGTAGCTGAGTCATCTGACTGTCGTTGTTGCAACCACCCCTCTTTCAGTGTTGGCGTTCAGTGAAAAACAATGATTATGAAAATCATGATTACCTTGTGCTTAAATGAAAAATAACCAGGCCGTTCAAAATTGTTTTTATGTTCGCCAACAAAATTGACTAAATTTGAGATAGTGGACCAGCATTAATGTTGAGCTCTGTAGAACTAACAATTTTTAAAAATAAAACAAACCAACACCAATATTTTATGTTCCCTGTTTGGTTGAATTCTGAAGATGAGTAAAATCTAAGTAATAATGTTGAAATGTAATTGTGATTAAAATGAGGCGGATCTGTTCGCTTAACATTCCTGACTGATACAGACTATTTATTGTTGGTGGGAAATATAAATATTATGTCAAAATAAATATTGTTTACCTAGCAGTTCATGATAACAATTCGTATTTCATGTTGATTTTAGGTGTCAGATGGTGGATCGGATTTATTCACTGCATCTCCCACAGTCCCGAGAAGTGAGTAAAACTACACGTATTCAGCATTTTGTATAGATATCTGATTGTAATGGACGTTGGCTACACTATGTGTGATGTACAACTTTACTACGAATATCATATTTCCTCATCTTGTGAATGATCTGAATTCTCATCTGTTTAAGCGTTTGGATAATTATACTACATGTGTAGCCTAGACAACCGCAGCTATATTGTACAAAAGCTGTCATGTGACAAATGTCTTTTTTTTTTTTTTTCAATACTCTAACAATAAGCTTCTCGTCGGTGCCTGAATATGATTTTTTATTGGTCTGTGGTTGTCACGATGACTGACGTATCAAGCGTATACAACACATGTAAAATACGTTGTTTGTTTACATCAATTTTGAACACTGACTGCATGAGAAACACCAGTCTTAATTAAACAGTAATGATAATGGTGTGATTAATAATGTATGCATTCTTGTTTGCTTTTTATTTCTAGGAGAGCTGGGTTTTCATAAGCCTCCTTTGCAGACAAATGACATCAACACTCAAGATGACCACCCTACCCTTCCAGCTTGTTTACCACCTACCACAACTACAAGAATTAATATAAGTAATACTGTTACTGTCCCAAGCATTGACAAGGAGAGGTTTCCATCAGTGGCCTTGTCGAAACCTCCTACCTGGTCTAGGTAAGTTGAACATTTTCATTGATGAATCAAAGCTGCCATTTACTTCTGTAGAACTAATATGTAACCCAGGTGGTCTCGGAATGTTTTTTTTGTTTGTTATTTGGCTGACAAACTTGACAATGTCACTCAACCTGCTGGGAAGTGTTGGAATCTCTGCTGGATGCTATGTACATCCGGACATAAAACATAAATTGTTTTTATCACAGATTGACCAGCTGTTACAAATTAAGGAATTGCTGCAGAGCCCCCATTTTCAACTTGTGTAACATGTGTACAATATCTCTCCCATTTGAAGTTTGCCAGTGTTTATTATTACTTGTTTTGATTTCAAAAATTGATGGTTCTCAGTCACTGGCTGTGGCTATAATTATACTATAATTGCATCTTACATAGAATCGCACATAAACACAAAATTGCTTTTATTCTACATGTATACTGGATTATTAAATCACGACTTTATGGTGTTGTTAGTTTTTTGAAGTTTGTCAAAAAACGAAGTTGTTATATTTGGATGGAGGGAGGGAGGGAAGACTCGAAGGGGGTGTTTTGTGTATTGATGTGCAAACTTTGTTTATTGTGGTTGTATTTTCAATATAAGTGATATGTTGGTGCTTTTGATGGAGTTTTATCAAGTATTAAAGCTTGGTGCGTTAAACATTTCAGTTGTTTAATCAGGCAGAAAAAAATAAAATGTTGTGTTTATGTTGGATTGTATCAATCTCCTGTTAATGTAATAAGAAACATGCACTGTGAAAATATTACCCATGAGATCAATGACAAATTCAAGTTTAATAATTGTATGTAAAGGGGATGTCTGGTGCTACATTCAAAATATTGCTTCTTTTTTTTTTTTGGCGAACATCGATATTTACTTGATACTTGGTCATTATGGGAGCCTGTATGCTACCACTAGAGCAAATATGTTACTTTAAAATAATTAATTTTTGCTGAAAAGAATTTTTGAGTGTTTTGTATGGAATATATTTTTGACAAGTTGAATGTAAAATTTAGGAAAAAAGATATATTTGCTGGATTTTATTTTCACTGAATCATTCCTTCAGCAAAAATAGCAAAAATTAATTCCAAGCAAAAAATAAAATATTTTGAAGTATGTTATAATCTGACTTACATACTACATGTGCACTTGAACCTTTGATTTTTTCTTGATGGACTATTAAAATCAACTAAATATTGTAAAAATGTTATTGGACTGAATAAGCAGCATATCAGAATGCTAGTAGAAATTCAGATAATTAGAAAACAAAATTCAATGAAATTTAACTGAATTTGACCGTGACAATCATATTGGAATAAATTTAGTTTTTGCAGGTATCGATAGAGCTGTAAACCAGCTGATATGAAGAGTAAGGCTGAAATAACAACTACACATGTTTCTTTGCCTCCAGGCTAATTATTTAAAATTTAAGGTTTTTGACCAAATTTTTGAAAAATACCCACAAATATTCAAATTTTCATGAAAAATCCCAAAAAAAAAAAGAAAAAATGCACCTGCATCAATCTTGCAAATTAAATTGACTACTTATTTTGTCCTGGAAATGTACACATGTTTTGTATCTGTGACAAAATTGTTTATTTTTAGTGAATTCTCAAACTGCAGTTGAAATCACAAGATTACATTGCATGTGTATAGCAGGTGGATTTATTTCCAATAACAAGCGCTTATTTATGTTTTTCTATTTCAGTGGTACCACCACTACCAGTATAATCACCAGCAAGAGTATAATCAGCAGTACATGTAGTAGTAGCAACCACAGCATTTCCGTTGTACCAACCACGTCAACATCAAACAGCGCAGGATACTCCACACCATCTCGTATCCCGTCTAACCCTTTCCCTCTCTCGTCACCTCGTCCTCCTGGCCCTCCTCAGCCACCTCATTCCCATCCATCTAATTTCCCCCATTCACCCGTCATACAACAGCACCCCCCTCCCCTGCCACAGCAGCATCCTCCTCCTCCTCCACCACCTCCTCAGCATCATCCTCCCCCACAAGCCAACCCCCATAGCATGTTCACATCAACTTTGCCTCCACCACCGCCATTGACATCAACAGCATTACCAATTCCACCAGCAGCCAATCATAACTTTCCCGGTGAAAACAATCTTAGCTTTGTTGGTGAGTTTCAAAACTTTGTCTATGCATGATTAGTTTCAATTGTGTCCTTGTTTAGCTGTGCCTGATAGAGGGTGTGCCTTGAAAAAGTTGATGTGCCCGTTAGAGGGCGCACTTTCTAAATCAGTGCTCAATCCTTGAGGGCGGACATCCGGGCATTTTCACCGCCTGGCAACCCGCGGCGGTGAAAACAAAGGCCCAAAACTCGCATAAAACGATACTTTGGGATGATTGTTGAAACTCCTCTGAACAGTGTAACAAGATTAGCCCTACGTCTGTAACATATATAAATTTGGTTGTTCGCGATTACTTTAAAGTTGAGTTTGTGTTGTTTTCTCGAATTTTCACCGGCTCGACCGGCGTTCCACAGCAGCGCGCACAGAGCCCATTGAAATGCATGGTACAGTGGTGCGCGTCTTAGCAACGTGGAACGTCTGTGACGTAGCTCCACCCCCGAGGATACGAGTAAAGAAAATGTACAGGCAATATGTTGTATTTGTTTACCTGATAGCAAGCCAGCATTTTTAGTCCCCGGGGACTTGTGTTTTGCCCTGTGTGCGTCCGTGCGTGCGTCCGTGATCACCTGTATCTCGAACATGCATGGACCGATCAAGTTCAAACTTCACTCATACATCACACATTATATGGGACATATGCACATGCATTTTTTTCATGATCCGATTAACGATAGCCGAATAGCGGCCATTTTAAGGCCGAAAATGCATCAAAATCGCACATTTTCACCATTCCGGACCCGGATCTCAGTTATGCATGGACGGATTTCGT